TAAATGAAGGTTCAGAGGTTAATTCCAGTCCAGGCTTTGTTTTAAGCTTGATTTGGATTATCATTACAATGGTTTGATTAGCCTCAAGAAAGTGTCATCAAGAAAGTGTCATGGGGCTTCCCTGGTGGCGCAGTGGTTAAGACTCCACGCCCACAATGCAGGGGGCCCAGGTTCAATCTCTGTTCAGGGAACTAGATCCCACATGCATGCCACAACTAAGAGTTTGCATGCCACAACTAAGGAGCCCACCCACCACAACTAAGGAGCCCACCTGCCGCAACTGAGACCCAGCAGAACCAAATAAATAAATAAATAAATATTAAAAAAAAGAAAAATAAGCTGTACCCTGATTGGCTATACACGATGTAACCCAAGGCTACTCGAGCATGAGAACTGTGTAACCTTTCATCAGAGGCGGAAATGAGGTTTTTACTATTAGATAAAGTCCTAGGAAGGCAGAACCTGGGTTCTGGCTAACTGACACCTGGCATGATGTGGGGTGCAGAAAGCTTAAGACCGGGGAGGGCGCAGAGGTTAGGCATACCTGCTGGTAAATGCATCAGACCTGGTAATGCAGTAGCTGGCTTCATTGGTGGCACATAAATGAGGGACTGGCTAGTTCTGGTGGCAATAATGGTGCAGTTGGTACACCTGTACTGAGGACATTACTGACAGCTGGTAGAATTGAGCCAATAAAAATCCAGGGGGCTTCCTGGTGGCTCAGTGGTTGAGAGTCCGCCTGACGATGCAGGGGACACAGGTTCGTGCCCTGGTCTGGGAAGGTCCCACATGCCGTGGAGCGGCTGGGCCTGTGGGCCATGGCCTCTGAACCCGCGTATCCGGAGCCTGTGCTCCACAACGGAAGAGGCCACAACAGTGAGAGGCCCGCGTACTGTAAAAAAAAAAAAAAAAAAAATCCCGACAGATCCTGTTCAATTTCTGTAATTCCCAGTGGTGACAAAGATTGGGGAGTAACTGAGGAGAGATGAACCTCCGTAAAGCCATCTTTAAGAGGAATAATAGGTGTACTAGTCATTTGTCTGTGTCTGAACCCAAAGCCCACCTTCAGGAACTGCCAGTCATGGCATCAAGCAGTGCACATTATCAGGAGCAGCCAGTCACATGAGTTTTTCACTTTTCAAGCACTTGGATTGGAGGACAAACCCAGAGGGAGGACATGTCACCTACAGCAGACAATGCTTGATCCAGACACATGACATGATTGTTTTGCATGGGTGTGGAGCTAAATATAGGGTTGAAAAGGAACAATCTCACCCTCTTTCTGCAAGGCCTGAGGTTGAATGTCCTCCACAGGTGTCGGGGTGTTGTTCTCCCGCAAAGGTCAGGAAATCAGGGTGTCTCACATTAGTAGATGAAATCTCACTTCCTCTCCACTCATCCCATGCTTGACCCTGACCCTGAAAGGATCAGGTGTGAGAGAGGACAAAGCCATCTTTACAAGATTTACAGAGATGTACTATATCCTCCACTTTGGCCATTGGGACTTGATGTAGATGGACTTGGTGAGCCTCATAGTCAAGCAGTTCCTGTCTTCACAATATAAGACCAGGTCCATCCAACAGGAAAAAACAGGGGCCCTAAGTGTGAATCCTGTAGGCCCACTTTTGGCCAGGTTGTGACCTGGAAAATGTAGCAACTAGACTGGCCTGGCCTGATGATGAGGGAAAGACATATCACTGCCCAGGAAAGGTCACGGCCAAATGAAAAATGTTCAAAATAGATCTTTGGGACCACCTGGAACACTATCCTTTCTCAGAAACCCTAAGATTTCAGACTCAGGGTAGCATTTCCCATATTTACTACACTCTGTTTCTCTTGCCTGTGAATCACCCCATGTTTATTAAGCATGAGCAACAATCTAGTGGGAAAAAATGATGACTCTACAATATTTCTCACATTCCTAATGTTCTTCTCCACAGTGAGATCACAAGTGAACATCAAAGTACTCAAGAGATGTACAGTTTTCCAGAAATCTTACATCAGTAGAGTTCCTCTGCATTGAAAGATCTCTCATATTTAGGGAATATATATTTCCCTGAGCAAACAGTAAAGTGCTTTCCATGTTTCTTAATAGTATGGCTTCACTGTGAGCCCTAACAGGCTGGGTTGTGAGATGGATGGCTTTCCCACATTCCTTATGCTTGAAGACCATCTCTCCAGTGTGCTCTTTTCACGTCAAGTGTATCAGGGCAACTGAGGGCTTTCCCACATACCTGACATCAGTTAGACAAAGTGATTTCTTACAAGACAAATGAACAAAGAGAACTGAAGGCCTTCTCACATATTCTTCATTTATAGGATTTTGCTAGAGGGTGAGTTTTTCCTGAGGAGTTGGAATAACTGAAGGATTTCTCACATTGTTTACATCCTCAGGTTTCTTTCTCTCCACCATGAGTTTGGACATGTTTAGAAAGGTCTGATTTCCAAGTGAAGGCTCTCCCACATTTCTCACATTTGTAAGGTTTTATTCCAGAGTGAATTGTCTTGTGACGATGAAGGTATAAGGAATGTTTAAAGGATTTTCCACACTGATCACATAGAAAGGGCTTATCTCCAATGTGAGATTTTCTATGGTCCCTAAACTGAGATCTGACAAAAAGTTTACCACAATCTTCACATAAAAACTTTCTAGCATGAGTTTCCATGTGTTCAGTAAGTGCAAAAGGCCTGATGAAGGCTTTACCACATTCCGTACATTTATATGGTTTTGTTCCAGTGTGAATTCGATTGTGAATCTTAAGATATGAAGAACTTTTAAAGAATTTTCCACATTTTTCACATGGAAAAGGCCTCTCTTCACTATGAGATTTTATATGTTCTTTAAGTCTATAGGAAGTAAGGAAGGCTTTCCCACACTCCCTACATTTATGCACTTTTATTTCACTATGATTTTGCATGTGATCATTAAAGAATAAGGGATAAAAATAGGATTTTCCACTTTCCTTATATATAAAGGGCCTCTCTCCAGTATGAGATTTTATATGGCTCCTAAGGTGATCAGCTCTAATGAAGGCTTTCCCACATTCCTTACATATAAAGGGCTTTTCTCCAGTATGAGATTTTTTATATGCCTCTTAAGTTCATAAGCTATAATGAAAGCTTTCCCACATTCCTTACATTTATAGGGTTTCTCTCCATTGTGGGTTCCCATGTGAATTTTAATGGATATATGATATTTGTAGACTTTTCCACGCTCCTTACATTCATAACTTTTTTTTGTGGTGTGATTTCGTACAGGTATACCATGCCTTGTGGAGTGAACAGAAGCTCTCCCATGTTCCTTCTGTTCACAGTGTTTTTCCCCATTCTGAGTTACTACTTGTGCCTGAAGAGAAGGCTGATTCACACAAGGTTCCTCACCATCACTGCATTCGAAGGCTTTCTCTCCCATGCAGGTTTTCCTGTCCACAATATTTGGAGTCAGGATGATGGCTTTTCCACAGTGATTAAACACAAAATGCTTCACAACCGTAGAGGTTTTCTTCTGCAGAGTAAGGAAGCTTTTTCCATACTCATTATGCTCGTAAGTGTTGCCTCCATTTTGAGTTCTCCTGCCTGTCCTAAGGCTCAAGGGTTCATTGAAGTCTTTCCTATATTGCTCACAGTTACAGAGTTTCCATCCATTGTGCATTCTTGCCTGTGGATGGATAGATGAATGATGATGCAAAGATTGCTCAGACTCATTAATTGATCCTACTCATCTCAAACTTGAAACATCATTACAATGATGAAGATGACTTTTACCATTTCTACTACATTCATACACCTCTGCCCTGTTGATTTCTTTCAAGTTGAATGATGGAATCCTTCTGCCAGAATGATGTTCCATCTACTCCAACCTTCAAATAATCCTGTACAACTTCATGGATTGTTGTAAAATCTCAAATGTCCTGTTACATATGTGGAACTGAGGACTTATGGGAACTCTGAAGCAATAATTATCAAGCTAGGTTTAGGATATCCCCAAATTCAACCTATTCAGAGTATCTCACCATAGACATTGCTCTCCCCTGGTGACTGCCACCTATTGCAAACATCTATCACTTGTGTTCATGCTATAAATGAAATTCCCTTTCTTTTCTGAATGTGGAAAAAGAGAAATATGATGTTTTAAACTTACCAATGTTACTGTTTCCATCCCAACAGATGTTTCTCCCCCAAGATTATCCTGGTGAATTGCTGAGCCTTTGGTTTTAAGTTGCATTTCCCATAAAAAAATAATAAATGTAAGAGTTTGTAGAAAGAAACAGGAGGCTGAAGGAGTTAAAAATAATAATACTCATTTGTATTGGCTTCCAAATTAAAGATGCTAAAAATATCAATACATACATACTAGATTTGAGGAGTTTGGCTATGCCAAATATTTAACAATGATAGGAATGCAGAGTCAAAATTCAGTACCTGATTAAAAAGAATTCTATGAAAATTAAATATGATGGGGAAAAAAACCTGAATATTATCAGTGAAGGAAAAGAGGAATGTTAGGAAAAATAGCCTACATCAAAATGATAAAGTTAAAAAAAGAAACAGAACAAGCCATTTTGGATAAAGATGTGGTACCTATGTACAATAGCATATTACTCAGTTGTAAAAAAGAATGAAATAATGTCATTTGCAGTTACATGGATGGACCCAGAGATTATCATATTAAGTGAAGTAAGTCAGACAGAGAAAGACAAATATCATATGATATCACTCATATGTGGAATCTGATTTTAAAAAATGATACAAATGAACTCATTTACAAAACAGAAACAGACTTAAAGATATCAAAAACAAACTTATGGTTACCAAAGGGGAAATGTGGGAGGGTGGGATAAATAAGGAGCTTGGGATTAACATACACACACTACTATACATAAGATAGATAACAATGACCTAACGTATAGCACAGGGAACTCTACTAAGTATTCTGTAATAACCTATATGAGAAAAGAATCTGAAAAAGAATGAATATATATATATATATATAACTGAATCAGTTGCTGTACACCTGAAACTAACATAACATTGTAAATCAACTGTACTTCAATAAAATTATATTAAAATAAAGAAAGAACAAACCATTTTGTGAGCTCATAAGAAATTGTGAGTAAATGTGAAGTACGTACATATGACAACTTGAATATATCCTGAAACATCAGAGACCAGTGACCTCAGCCTTCTGTGAGAAAGCACATCTTTACAAGTTTCCTCATTATTATTCCAAAGACACTGAAATTTTCACTGATCAGGAATCACTCACCTTGGAGGACTCCTTTTCTTTCCGCTGTCCTCAAATCATCTTCTTGTTCCAACCAAGAGATCAGAGTGGGTTTCAATGATTGATACCCTGTTTATGAGGAAAGATAAATTAATGAAAGAAGCTCCAGAAAAATAGAAGAAACTGTCCAATGAATCAGCTCCTATATGTCTAAAACTGTGGTAAAACTATTTCAGAAGGGATAAAACAGGAAATTCACCTCCTTCTGTTCTCCACAAAGACTGTTTCTCTCTGGCCCCTGAAGCCCACATTCAGATTGATATAAACAATTACAAAGCTTAAGACTTTTTTTGATATGGGAAACAAAGTAAGTGCAAAAAAAGATGTTCATTCACATGGAGAAACCAATACACCAATGAGTGTCAAACGTTGGTGTTCATGAGAACCAAGTCCAGTGTCTGTCACAACACAGATGACTGGGTCCCAATGCCACAGTTTCACTCAGTAGGGGAAAGGTGGAGTCTGAGAATGCACATTTCTAAGAGCGATGGTGATAATGCTAGTCCTAGAAGCACATTTTCAGATGCCAACCGAATTAAAACCCATTCATGTGAAGAACAGTGTCTGTTAGTTTCCATTATATTCATATGTAACATCACCCATGCTGCAACACAGTAAGTGCATCACATATATCTGTTCTCTAAGATGCTATAGGAATGATGGCAGCCTTACCTGCTGTGGTCAGGTTCTTGTAGTTCTCCAGCATCACATCTCTGTATAGCTTTCTCTGAATGGGGTCCAGTAAAGTCCATTCTTCCTGGGTGAAGTCCACAGCTACATCAGCGAAGGTCGCTGAGTCCTAAACCATCACACACATACTAGCTTCAGTAAAGTAAGCCCTCCACCAATGGTAGGGACTGGAGACGGGTGACCCATGATTCAATGTCTCTCATCATCTCCCCCAGGACACAATGGTCCTAGGTTCTCTTCTATCTACACTCACTCATGATTGATATCCCTCAGCTACAGCTCTAATGGAACATGTAATACATGAACTTATCTCAATAGAATGAGCCTTAAAGTGTTTTGTTTCTCTCCTGTAGCATAGTCCTAAGCCAACTGGAATCACTTGTAAATGCTGATGAATGAATACATTCTTTGAGAAATGCACAGTCATCTTCCTTACTGTGTAAGAGCACCAAGCAAAACAAAAAATATGCAGTCACCATCATGAGAGGCAAGATTAGGAGGTCATTACTGAAATACTGAGATTATTCAGGGTAATGTGTCACCAGTATGAGCTTCCACTTAGGGAGGGAATTCATCAGGGACTGAGTCCTGCAGTGGCTTTATTTCTTTAAGAAGCTCTGGACACAGGCCTACCAAAACAGAATGTGTCCATCTGGTGGATACAGTAGCTCATTTTTTAGGATAGACTTGCTTCTTACCCGAGAACAACTTCTCAAACACTCAGCCATTATCCTTTCTGCCTCTATCTTTTCCTCAGGAAGGCGAAAGGGTCCTTAGAACACCTAGGAGAAAAGAAAGAAGGCATGAGTACCCAGAGATGATCATAATTCCCACAGTCACTGCCTGGAAGTCATTCAACTCTAGCTTGAAATTCCCAATTATCCTTTGCACACTCAAGAAGTCTCACACATACACACACCACTGCTGTGAAATGCCAGAGTAGTCCTGTCTCACCTGGAGCCAGAAAAGGGGATGGTGAGCCATGCTTCCCATCAGGAAAAGAGTAATGGGTTCATTTTACAGGGAAGCAACCTTAAGACCTGAGTAATGTGACTCTTCATTTGTCAAGGCAATAAAATACTTGAATAAGATTATGCAGCAGGGCTTCCCTGGTGGCGCAGTGGTTGAGTGTCCGCCTGCCGATGCGGGGGACGCGGGTTTGTGCCCCGGTCTGGGAGGATCCCGCATGCCACGGGGAGGCTGGGCCCGTGGGCCATGGCCGCTGGGCCTGCGCGTCCGGAGCCTGTGCTCCGCAGCGGGAGAGGCTGCAGTGGTGAGGGGCCCGTGTACCGCAAAAACAACAACAACAAAAAAACAAAACCAAAAAACAAACAAGAAAAGATTATGCAGCAACTCTACCTAAATGCGCATACCAGAAAGCCGAGTTAGAGAACAGCATTATCTGGCTCCCTTCAGCAATTCCTAGATGAACCAGAAGCATGACTGCTCAGGCCCAGACCAAAAGACTGGCAGATCCTAAAGTAGAGTCTCTGAAAAAGGACATTAACAGGGACTTCACATGGGACATATAGCTGTCATGTTGCAATGATGGTGAAATTTGCCTGAAAATTCCTTTCTTTGATGTCAAGATCATGTCAGGCAGCTTATGAATACAAGTGGACAGGGACATCTCCATGCCCCTGGAGATCGGGTTATCTGGAGTCCTGCTTCATATCAATCATTAATCAACAAATATTAGTTATCTCACACACAACATCATAAATTAGCTCTTTCTATGTAGATAACATAGTTACTAAAAGAGTATGCTCTACAACAAGAATATCAGTAACATCAATTATTATTCATTGAGTACATTATGTACCAGATATCTCATTAGGAGCTTACAGCTTACCTATATGTTTGGAACAACTTGAATACTGGATTCTACTCTTTCAACTGTAAATTATGTATGCTCTAAGCAGAAATTAAGTATATATGATAAAAATTTAGTGTCCAGTAAATTTAAAACCCTTCAAATGAAAAAAATGTAAAATATCTAAATTTTTAAATTGACTGTTTAAGTAATATTTTAATATATATGAGATAAAATAAAATATATTCATATAAATAATCTTCATTTTTGTTTATTGTGGGTACTGAAAATATTTTCATTATATACGTGGTCTATACATTATATTTATATTGGAAAAGCACTGGTGTAGGCTGCTGCTGGGCTTATGAAGGGAAAAAAATACATTCTATTCGGTCAACATCCTTGAGCTTCTCCTGATGGATGTTGGAGAAGTTTGAAGCTCTAGGCCTCCTTTAGTTCTTATCACTGGATTATTCCTTTCTTTCAATGCCCTTGTGCTAGGCAATCAGTTGAGAGTAGTAACATATACAGAAAATATTCTAGGCATTAAATATCCACCATTCTTATTAGGGAAGATAGACAATAAACTAATAATTGATATATCAATTCATTAGTAACATGGGAAAACAATCAAGCAGGTAAAAAAAAAAAAAGGGTATCCTACACACACACACACACACACACACACACACACACACACACATATTGTTAGTTCCCGGGACAGATAAAGAAAGAAAGGGGAAATCATTAGGTCTTCTACACTTGGTCCAAAAAGATTAGAAAAAAATTTATCAAACTTTTTACAAAAGAATTCAGAATACATGAAAGTACTGGGAAGCCTCCATGGGTCTCCGTTTTGGAAACACTCAAATCAAACAGGTATGTACTCTCTCCTTGCCTTGGACAAGGAGCAAGGCCCTGTCATACTTAGCCCAACATTTGTCTATTTTAATGAATCTTTTCAGACAATCACATTTTCATATTATTTTTCAGTTCCTTTTTCATGGAACTGAAAAATTTGCTTTTATGTTTACTTACTTCTTCCCCAGACTTTCTTCATGCTTCTTGTCTTTTAACATTCTGTATTTAAAAGTTAACTTCTTTTTGTTATATACCAATAACCTTTAATATATCAAACACAGACCACCAGGCCAAATGCTGGTCTACAAAACTGGATACGAATGATGACAATGAAAGTTCCACAGTTCATTACCTATGAACCTATGGACCATATTCATCCTCACTGTCCCCACAGTCCTTATTCTTCAGTAGAGAAGACTAAAACCCATACATACATGAGGTCAAAAAAAATCAGGTGTCTAGACTCCCTTATAACTGTACTTACTACTAGGGGTCTCAAACCAGGAGTCCTTAGGTTGAGTAAGTTTAGTGAGGTGGTACCTGATAAAATGTTTTATTTTTCTGTTTATTTTGTAGTTGGATATAATTAATGTCTAATGAAATACACAGATCTCAAGTATTTAGTGGATGAATTTTGATAATTGCATATACTTGTATAATCACCAGCCTAAACAAGAAACAGAACATATTTATTTCCCTGGAAAGCCTTCTTGTCCCTTTCCATCCATTCCTTACTTCTTGCGCTCAGACAAGCACTTTCTGATTTCACTGTTACTAGATACATTATGTTATATATGTATATTAGGGAATTAATACAGCATTTTCAAATGTGGGTCTTAACTGATTTTTTGTGTACTGTTTAGTGAAACTACGGGCAAAATACATTAAAATCTCCCACTAGAATTTTGAAATTGTTTATTTCTTCTTCCACTTCTTTCAAGTAATGCTTTATATATTTGCAACAATATTATTGAGTGGATACGCATTTGATTCTTTATATTTTTGGAGAAACAGATTTGTTTATCATGACCTCTGTATCTGTAGTAATGCTTCTTGACAACGTTGTCTGACATAAGGATCAGCTTTTTGGTGGAGAGTTTCTTTTTTTGGCATATCATTGGTAGCACTGTATCTGTTTTGGATGTCAGTGTCTGCCAGTACAAAGAGTGGCACGGTGTCTGGCACACCAAAGGCACCCACTAACTGGTGACTGACAGAGTGGAGCTCCTTCACATCACTCTTCAAGTACACCTAGGTTATACCTAAATAACTGTTCATAATACAACATATATCTATTTTCATAAATGTATTTGATTACTCTAAGAATGTAAGGGTGGGAGGAACACCATCTTCTTTCAAGCACTCACACCAGCGTCGGCTTATCTGCACACCTGTCACTTGTTTCCCAAAGCCTCCTTATATGGACACTTAGTGCTCTAGGTCCTGCACTGGCAGTGGCACCCCAATTCCCTCTCTACATCTACATACTGGTCATGGCTTGCCTGCATACCAGAGGGGAGCTTCATCCTTGCCCAGTGACTCTTAACTAGTTCTGGCCCTGGCAACCTAGCAAATTTCCTCACATTCAATGGGTTGCCATGATATCTTCTCTAACAAGCTCTGAAATCAATCTTGGGGAGAGGCCCCCACTATAAGTTTGGCCTTCCTTAGGTATTCTCCATGAACTCTAGGATATATGACAGAATTCTCTTTACAATTTTATACTTTACTTCTCCTGTTTAAATCAAAGTACGATTTCTGTCTCTTCATTTCATGCAGACTTATACACAATAGTGAAGATAGGTGATCCCTGGAGACAAAGTAGTAAAGATGACATTTTGGGATATGTTTGGTCCAACCTTTAGACTCAAGCATAGAGCTAAAAGCCTTGCCAATGGGAAAGACTTTCACAGAATTACAACTGTCAAGCAATCACCTATGATGATTATGGTACAGCTCTTGCCTTGGGAGACCAGGTGAATGCTACACTTAACGGTACAACAATAATGGTGATTATAATGGTTGTGGTGAGAGATGGATTCTTTTGAGTGTAGTTGCCCAGACAATGACAAGCTCAGATCTACTATCTCAAGTCAAAGTCTGAAACCAGAGAGATTCCATGACAGGTTAAAAACTCATTTCATGTGGTCACATGGGAAAGATATTGCAAAAATCAAATGCAGAGTTCAAGTATTCAACCATACTTAAAGTCAGTCTCACATACTTTTTCATGTGAAAATGAGGCACTGATCAGGGAAGAAAGAGACAGGAAACTTGAAATAGGGATATCTATGGGGACCCTGATGACACTCACAATATTGAACCCCCAAGACACTCTGAGCCTCCCTTATCAGGGAAGTAGCTTGCTCTTAGGTTTCTGAAGATACTAGCCTTCCTCTGCTTGACAAATGTGTGATAATCTCACTTAGAGCAGATGCCTTGGAAGGAATGCTCACTCTCGAGACCCACCACAATTACCTGCCGTTGCCTCTAGACACACAACTAGTGCAAAATCCAAGGGGACAGGACAGTATGCAACACAAGGTAGGAGAAAACAGCTTACATACAAAATAAGCCCAACTCTGCAAATGTGTATCAAAAGAGTTTGGTGAACATGTAAACTCCTAGGAGTTCCTAGGGGATTAAGCTCAGGTAATTCCAGTGAGTGCAAGTAAATTGTATGATAGGCTGCCAAGGCTCTTTCAACACCTAAGTACAGTTGCACTACCTCCTCTTCCTCAGTCTATGTCTATGGCTTCCTGTGGTATTCCTTACACCGAGCTGGCTGAGACAAAACCTGGTTTATAGATGGGTCTGCATAGTAAGCTAGTTACACCTGGAAGTTTAGACCTGAAGCTCTATATCCTTACTGAAGGGATGACCCTGAAAGGCAGTAGTAATTAAAAATCTTCCCAGTGGCAGAAATTCAAGCAGTATATTTGGCTGTTGCTAGGTCTGGAGTGAAAAACAGCCACATGTATGGATACACATTGCTTCACAAACAGTTGTCAATCACTTGACTAGAGAGTCAAAGACGTGAATGGAACAAGATTGGAAGGTTGATGACAAGAAAAGTAGTCTGGGAAAAGTATATGAAAGGATGTCTCT